GTCGCGACGCGCCGCCTCCGCGTCCCGCGCCGGAGACAGTCCAAGCTCGCCGCCTTCGAGGAAGGGGAACGGAAGCGGTGTCGCTCCGGTGACCGCGGTGGGTCGGGGAAGCGAAATGTTCCTGAAACGACTTGCCGTTATCTGAGGTCCTGCAGATGCGTCAGCCTGCAGCTTCCGCCGGCTTCCTGCCTTGATGGCTGGGGAGCATGGAAGCCGTAGTCCAACATTTGGAGGGCCGCGGACTGAGGAAGATATTTAAAGACATTTCTGAGGAAACAGGCCAGTGCTGAATCCTGATTCGAGGACTGGGACCACATTGGAAGCTCCAGTGGCTGGTCTGAGGGAAAACTCTTTCCTTGTGTGGCTTGCATTTCTTGCAGCTGCCGCCTATGATCGGTCCTTATCTATACCAGAGGGAAAGGAAGGTGACACCATGCGACTCCTTTCAGATTTAGGTTGCTATTCTTGGGCACTTAGGACTAAGATTCCGTTGGACTTAGCTGGAAATAAATCCTTCCGAATCAGTCGTTAGATACGTAGTTGTGCTTAAGAGGCTGAACTATAATGAAAGTTGTACTGGATCACCTGCATATTTGTAGCACAGAGTATTTTGCTGCAGGGTCCTGCCTCCTTAGATACTTTTTGTAAACAGCAAATTTTAGGTTCAAGATACATGTAAGTACTATGTGTAGGATGACCTTGGGGTGACTTTTGGATTGATGCCTCCAGTTCCAGGAAGTTCAGTGCCTCCAAAGTTTGCCTCAGCCCTTTTCTTTGGAACATGTATAACCTGATTTGGAACGAGAAGGTGTATTCATCTTACAGCACTAACTATAATGTAGTTAGAAAAGACAAAACAAGCTTACACAAAAATAACCCTGAAACAGAAACAAAATACCAGTTGGGTTTATATAACCTGGTTAGCCAAAATGTATTTGGTGTTTGTAACTGACTATATGTGAACCTAGCAATATTTGTATATTTTGTTTCAGAATTGTCCCAGAAAAAATCATAATAATGCCAAATATGCAGTACTGTACAGTGTACACCCATTCCACAGATAGCTCCCTTAAGTGAGCAAAGGCAAGGAACATATAAGGGTGCCTTTAACCATGTCAGGCCACTAATTAATCTAGCTTCATATTGACTTAACAGTGCTCCTTCATAGTTTTACACAAGGAATATACAGTCAGGTCCAGAAATATTGGGACATCGACACAATTCTAACATCTTTGGCTCTATACACCACCACAATGGATTTGGAATGAAACAAACACATCTTGGTCTCATCTGTCCATAAGATGTTGTTCCAGAACTGTGAAGGCTTTTTTAGATGTCGTTTGGCAAACTGTTCTTGGTCTCATCTGTCCATAAGATGTTGTTCCAGAACTGTGAAGGCTTTTTTAGATGTCGTTTGGCAAACTGTTCTTGGTCTCATCTGTCCATAAGATGTTGTTCCAGAACTGTGAAGGCTTTTTTAGATGTCGTTTGGCAAACTGTTCTTGGTCTCATCTGTCCATAAGATGTTGTTCCAGAACTGTGAAGGCTTTTTTAGATGTCGTTTGGCAAACTGTTCTTGGTCTCATCTGTCCATAAGATGTTGTTCCAGAACTGTGAAGGCTTTTTTAGATGTCGTTTGGCAAACTGTTCTTGGTCTCATCTGTCCATAAGATGTTGTTCCAGAACTGTGAAGGCTTTTTTAGATGTCGTTTGGCAAACTGTTCTTGGTCTCATCTGTCCATAAGATGTTGTTCCAGAACTGTGAAGGCTTTTTTAGATGTCGTTTGGCAAACTGTTCTTGGTCTCATCTGTCCATAAGATGTTGTTCCAGAACTGTGAAGGCTTTTTTAGATGTCGTTTGGCAAACTGTTCTTGGTCTCATCTGTCCATAAGATGTTGTTCCAGAACTGTGAAGGCTTTTTTAGATGTCGTTTGGCAAACTGTGCCAGAGCAGACTAGTCAGGTCCAGAAATATTGGGACATCGACACAATTCTCACATCTTTGGCTCTATACACCACCACAATGGATTTGGAATGAAACAAACACAATGTGCCTTAACTGCAGACTGTCAGCTTTAAGTTGAGGGGATGTACATCCAACGCAGGTGAGGTGTTTGTTTCATTCCAAATCCATTGTGGTGGTGTATAGAGCCAAAGATGTTAGAATTGTGTCGATGTCCCAATATTTCTGGACCTGACTAGTCTGCTCTGGCTGAAAATGCTCAGAATTGAACCTTACACCCTACTTTATTTAAAGCATATTATTTATTTTATTTCTGTACAATTCTTCCTGGATGAATCCAGAACAGTTTATGAGAGAAATAAAAACAATTTTAAATACAATCAAAAGTAAACAATTCTTTGAAAAAATGCAAACATTAAAAACAAAGCTCATTTTGAAAAGTAGAAAAACAATCTGAAAGACAGCTTGGTCCTATTGTACCTGGTATTCTAAAATGCTTGGGAGAACAAAATTGTTTCAAAATAATTGTTCTCAAATAGAGCAAACACCTGTCAAACATCCCTCAGAAGGAAGTTCCATAAGTTGTGTGGCTCTAGTCATGGTTGTCACTTGTACTCCCTGCTACTACCATGAGCAGATACCCCCCAGCTGATCATAATGCATGTATTGGGTGGTGTTAGGGAAGGAATATTTTAGCTGATCCTGTCATTACTATATGCTTCCTAACTGAGTGATGTTTTCTTCCCATGGGAAAAACATGAGCAAGAAGGTTGCCTATGCCTAGTGTTGTACAGGTTAAAAGTGAGATGTGCAACAAGATCACCTTTAACCCAAATCCAAAATTATTTGGTCTGGGCTCAAAGCCCAGTTGCCATGTGGAAAGCTTTGAAGCAGCTGAAGAATAATGCAGAATGGTCAGCAATGGCACTGGTTATCCTTTTGCCCTAAAGTTTGTGAGTTAATATGAGTTTTCCACTCATAAGCAATCATTCTCCATGAGGTCCCCTACACACAGCACAACTTTCCAAAGAAGCCAGTGGTATTTGTTCTGCTTTAACCTCCAGTCATCAGCCTGAGAAGGTATTATCTGAGCTCAAATTAGCCAATATTAATAAAAAGGAATAAAAAGAAAAGTGCTTCACAGGCTACTAAAGAACTCTTCTTGCAAGTAAGTCTCACTTCATGTTATGTGTTTTCAGCATTCACTTTGAAAGTCACCTATCTGATCTATCCAAAATTATCCTGTGAAGTGATCAGGGAAGAATAGCCTGGGTTCAACAGGTAGCTCTCCTGCTTTTAATGCTACTGAAGGTTGTAACATACCTGGAGACAGCAAGTCAGGACCCAGAGAAGCAGAAGTTTTGCATTAAATTAATTGAGTAAAATATCCTTTCCAAGTTTCATTTAAAGGAGAAGCCCAATATCACAGTCTTTTGAATTGCTTTGCAGATGGTATTGAAGAAACAGTTTAATAGCCAGGAAAATGCATGGCAGACCCCAGGATGGAAGTGGAAGAATATGTACTTTAGTTCTAAGATTTGTAAAAGCAGGTTTGTATTATGTGTGTGTGTGGTCTGGGAAGCCTTATCTCCTTTTCCATGCCACCCAGCTAATCAGCTGCCTATGTAGAATATATTGCTTTTCTAGCACTGTTTTTAATAATAGGACAATTGAAATATTAATGTATTTGTCCTTAATAATCCCAATGCATCGAAGGTGATGGTGATTTTGATCAGAAATGCAGGAAGAAATTATAACCTCATCCAGCATATATGCTTACAGCTCCAACAATTACACTACAGCACAACCAAAACAGAATCCCAAATTCTAGAAAGGCATGCATCTATGCATGGTGGTCTGTATACAAAAAGAGGGAAAAGATAATGTGGGTGCTGCTTTTTCAACTATTCCCCCCCCCCATTTTAAAAAGATAAAAACAAACTAATATAAAGTAAGAAAAAGAAAAGAAAAACCAAACAAAGTTAAAAGAAAAACAGAAAAAAGATACAAAGAAGTAGCTTCTGATCTTCTTTACAGCAGTTAGAGGTACAATTATAAATTTACCTCTTACTCTATGGTTACAAGATGACTCTTCTTTCTATAATCTATCCTATCTAATCATCAAAACCATAAATCACTATTCTCTCTAATTATGCAGTCCTGAAAGGATTTCTGAGTTGTTAATATTTCCCAGGCTCTTCTCTGGAAAACTGGGTCCACTCCACAAGTATAAGATTGCAACCTCAGTGTGTAGTAGGAAAAGCTGTGGCTTTGTGCATCTTACAGAGCAATCACTTTATTGTGGTGTAAGTTTTCATGGACTTTAATCTCCAAATGTTTGTACCATAAAGGAGTTACAGGATCACAAGCCTCTTAGATTAAATCCAGTGGGGAACTTAATACTTGTATTAACAACCCCATACTAATTAATCCCCTTTGTTTTTATTCCACTTAATAAGAACATGTAAATTGAAAAACTGCTTAAGATACTTACACCCAAAATATTGGAATATGTAAACAAAAATTTAAATTCAGCATTAACAGTAGAAGTATCCTAGCCTGTCCCCCACCTGATCCTTTAACAAATAATCTGCAGACATTAGCAGAGTAATTCTTGTTGGGAATAGCTTCATCTGTCAATTTTTAGACATCAAGTTGTTGCTACAGGCTTAGCAGCAGAGCTGGGGTTTTTTTTTTAATTCAGCTGTGCGCTACCCCCAAGA